CATAGAAACAGAGTAGATTTGCGGTTGCCAGAGGCTGGGTGGTGAGATAAATAGGGGAGATGTTGATCAAAGGGTACAAACTTCCACATACAAAATAAAGAATTTCTGATGGTCTCATGTACAGCATGGTGACTATAGTTAACAAGATTGTATTGTACTTGAAGGCTACTAAGAGACTAGACCGTAAATGTTGTCACCACAAAAAAGTAAATAAGTAAAACAAAAAGGATAATTACGTGAGGTGATGGTCGCATTAACTATCCTTATTTTGGTAATCATTTCACAACATAAACATAGATCAAATTATCACGTCGTGTAAAACTTAAATTTACACAATGTTATATGTCAATTATATCCAGAAAAAAAAATGTTGTATCATTTCCTTCTGGCCTCCATGGTTTCTGAATAGAAATCCTCTGTCAGGGGTGCCTGGGTGGCTCAGTCGTTAAGCATCCGCCTTCGGCTCAGGTCATGATCCCAGGGTCCTGGGATCGAGCCCCACATCGGGCTCTCTCTGCTCAGCGGAAAGCCTGTTTCTCCCTCTCCCTCTCCCCCTGCTTGTGTTCCTTCTCTCGCTGTGTCTCTCTGTCAAATAAAAAAAAAAAAAAAAAAAAAAAATCTTTAAAAAAAAAAAAAAGAAATCCTCTGTCATTCAAGTTGTTTTCTCCTCGGGGTAAGTGTGATTTCTCTCTTTTGGCCTTTGATATTTTTTTCTTTTTCTATAGTGCTCAGAAATTTAAATATGATGTGTCTTGACATAGATTTCTTCAGGTTTATCCGGTTGGGGGTCTGCTAAATGTGGAAAATTTTCAGCAATTGCTTGTTCAAAATATTTTTCATCTCCATCTTCTCTCCCCACTCTTTCTAGGACTCCAGTGGCACAAATGTTAGATCTTTTGTTTGGTCCCAGGTATCCCAGATACTGTGGGTTTTTGTTGTTGTTGTTTTTGATTTTGGGGGTTTTTTTGGTCTTGTTTTGTTTTTAGCTTAGTTTCTCTTTTTGGTTTAGATCGGGTAATTTCTTGCCTCTGATCTCCCCTCCTTTATCCTTCTAGTTTCCTCCTTCCAGGCCCTTACTAGCCAGCCATCCAGTAGCGCATCTGCGTCCTTACTTCAGGCCACTTCCCCAGCCACATTAAATCGATGACCACTCGTGCTCTTTGAGTGTCTACTAACTAAACATCTTATTTTAGAGCCCTCCGTTATGGCTATGGTATAGGAGCTGTCCAGTTTAACTTACATCAACATATGATGCGACCCTGGACAAAGCCTAGAGTTCTTTCTCTGCTATTAGGGAGGCCCTGTGTCTTTAATCAGATATGGTGAGAAACAAAGACAGGAAAGCTATTACAATACAGTAAGAAGTCTTTATTATACGCATACTCCCCTAGAAACAGAACACACAGCGTGTGCCACATGACGGCACAGACAGCGCCGTGGTAAGAAGAGAAGGCGGAGAGAGGTACTGCTGGCCGTGTATTTTTTACTGTGTATTTCATGAGAAGTAATGGAGAAGCAAAGTCAACAAGCTACTTAGACATAAGAGTGGAGAGTTTGAAAATTTCAGCAGGCTGCAGACTATAGGTGAGCCCCTTGTCATCCGGTGCTCAGGGGGGATCCCGGTAGAGGAAGATGTCACAGATTGCGGGTCTCGTTGAACGGAGGCAAGTGAGGACTTGGACTCAGGATTGTCTGGCTTGCATATCAAAGGTATGCTGTTAGGTACATCTTTTACTGCCTCTGGGAATTAGCTAACTTTGGGAGAGGCAGTCCCTTCATGGCTGGAGCACCAAGAATGCAGAAATAAGAAAATACATTAAATATAAACCCTCATGAGGCTGAAAACAGGAGTTCATGCAGGGGTGTTTGGGCAGGAGTGCTGAGTATTGTGGAGATCTGAAACTCTTGCCCCATAAATTAAGTGTGTCCTCTGAATCTGCTTGGGTCTAATACTAAAGAAAGTACTATCTCCTTCCTGAGGTTGACTGCTGCTGGGCTCCACCCAATCTTAAAATCTGGTGTGTCTGACATTTCCAGTTTAGGATGAGCAGCTCCGTCACAGTTATTTGATGTGCCGTGGACAGGTCTACCAGGGCCTGTGCTATGCTGGGAACAGTGAATAGGTTGTTTTTGAGAAGGGCCGAGTCTTGCTGTAGAACCCTGGAAGTCTATGCTGTGAGTCTTAATCTGGGCTTGCCAGAGTGTCCATACAGTCCTTCTCTAAAACGGATGCATGTACCACCAAGTGATAGATGAGGTCATATGGTCCACGTCATAGGGCCACTTGCATCATGACCTAAACCTGATACAGAATCCCTCCTGGCTCTGTGCCCACTCTAAACTAGTGACTTCAAAGTTAACTGATAATTGGAATGGTGTAGCTTCTCTAAGTGTAGAATGTGTTGTCTCAATACTCCAGAGACGCCTACAAAATACTGTGCTTCATCCTCAGTGGTCGGGGGTACAAGATGCAATTACTTGTCCTTTACTTCGAAGAGGATGTGCCCGCCTTCCTCAGATATCTGGACCCCTGACATAGCCACCAGTGAGGTGGGTGCATGAATTTTTGTAGGGTTTGCATCCCACCGTTGGAGCACATGTGTTTTTGCAAGTTAGCTAAGTCCTCACCATTTCTTGCTCATCACATCTAATTAACATGATGTTATTGATAGAGTGTGGCATGGCAGGATGCTTTGTGGAATGTTCATACAATGCATTGTAGCAGAGAGCGGAGAGTTAACGTAGCCCTGGGCTGAGACTGAAGATGTGACCTGCTCTTCACTGCAGGGGAAAGCAAATTCCACCAGAGGACTGTGTTAGATTATATGTCATGCCCCTGCTGGTGGGCCTTGTATTTGGTCAAGCATGCGGTAAGCGCTTTCAAAACCTCCACATGTCCAGAAGAGGGAGACTTAATACACCCAGAGAAGGATGGGGCCTGGTGGGGGGAGGGGGGATTCTTCTGACAAACTTAATTTTTGAGTATTTGAACAATACGGAAGCCCCATAATTTGCATATATTCTTCCTCTTAGATCTGAGGTGTTTCTGCCTCTCAGAATCTTATAAGAGAGTCTCTGGGTGTGTCGCATGAGCAAACTGTCCCATCAAAAGCAGCAAGATGGTGACTCCATCACAGCTTCTTGGCCTTCTCCTCCTCTGGGTTCCAGGTGAGAATATTTGGACAAAGGAGGTAAAAGTGGGGATATTATTTTCCATCACTGATTTTCTTTCTTCATTGGGAATCCTTCCACAAATGAATTTGGCTTACTGATGAAGTGTGAAAATTTTAAAAATAAGTAGTATTCTCTGTCCTGCCTAACAAGATAATGGTGACTTCTATATACATATCCTTAAGCTCTGCTAATATTTCCTGTATGGTTTCAGCCTCCCATGGTGAGATTGTGCTGACCCAGTCTCCGGACTTCCTGTCTAAAGCTACAAAAGAAAAAGTCACCATCACCTGCCGGGCCAGTCAGAGCATCAGCACCAGCTTACACTGGTACCAGCAGAAACACAATCAGGCTCTGAAGCTCCTTATAAAGTATGCCTCCCAGACGATCTCAGGGGTCCCGTCACGGTTCAGCGGCAGCGGGTCTGGGACAGATTTCACTCTCACCATCAGCAGCCTGGAGCCTGAAGATTTTGCCACTTATTACTGCCAGCAAAGTAAGAGTTACCCGCCCACAGTGTTACAGGTCAGAACATAAACCCCCAGGGAAGCAGACGTGAGGCTCTGGGCTGCCCTCACTGCTCCCCTGGTGCCCACATCTGCTCAGAGAGTTTCGCAGAGGCAGCCCCGCTTTGGAGGTCACTGGGAGCTTTGGGAGAGGGGCAGGGAGGCTCCTCAGCCCCCTGCCTGACTCCCTTTCCCCCAGATGATTACACCTGAGGAGTGTGGGGGGTGGCATCAGCCAGGCTTCGTGCAGCAAAAGAGAAGACACTCTAGGTATTCCAAGCAGGATTGCTTAATCTAGGGGAGTAATGTCTGAACTGCACTCTTTCAAAGGCCTGGGGATATAATAATAAGGGAAGCAGACTCTAGAAAGAGGTGATTCCTCAGTGATCCCCCATACGTCAGAGAACATATACCATTGGATAGACAGGCTGCCTAATCACGTGGTCCTCAGGCCTGTCTTGCCTCTGCAGCCCTTCACCAGGTGATTCTCCGGTCCTCCACTTATCACGCATCTGCCTGCAGGTGCTGATGGATGGCACTGAATCCTCCCCTTCTGACTTCCAAATCTAAGGTAAGATGCCTCCGTGAGCAACTCCATAGGAAACCACAGAGGAAAGGGGGCTCTGGGAATTGTGCTTCCAGAAGTGATGGTGATGATGGGGAGCTGACAGAAGACAGCCTGGGATGGTCACTATTTTTACATCTCTCAGAAGTTTGCCAGTTAGGGGAAGTCCCCAGAATACACTTGAATATGCTTCTAGCTACCATCGTCAGGTCTGAATTCATCACAAGAAAATTTTGTTAAGCGACTGAGTAAATAGAAAAATGAGGAAATTGTATCACGTATATAAAACTAATTTGACAGACAACGAAGGACTTTCGTGATTAAAAAAAAACTAAATGTGGGTGAAGCATTGTTTTTCTTTAATATGAAATATCTTGTTGCTTAAAATTTTTTGTAAGCCAGAGCAAGATTGACATCCCTGGAAGCTTGTGACAAATGCAAAATAGCAGGATCCACCTGACACCTACTCACAAGGATCTTCATTTTAACAAGATAGCAGGAGATCTGTATAAGGTTTAAGATGCTCTGTTTTAGAGCATTTTTACTTCCCCTAAAGTGGTCTTTTTTAATTTTCTATTTTCATTTAAGAAATTTCTATTTAAAGCTACGTGTTGAAAACACATTCAATTTTACTTTCTAATTCACACAAAATTAAATTACAAACTTCTTGTTAGATTGTAAATATGGAAAAATATAATTATTTGGAAATAACATGACCATGTATCTTAAAAATTGAATAGAATAATAATTTTTAGAAATTTAAAGAATTATGAAGACCTAAGAATAAATCAAAATTATATGCAATTGTGTCAGAATAATTGGACTTAAGTTTGCTTGTGTGGGGGATTTTGTACCCTCCTACAAATTGCCATGAGAATGATGTACCGTCGGTAGTCACCACACCATCAGTCTTGGCTCCAGATCAAACACAATCAGTAGGCTGGAGAACAGTTCATCTCCCTGCAGAAGAACCACACAGCTGAGCACTGTGAACATTATCCAAATCATTGTCAACATGAACATCCATGACTATAGAAACAAATGCTTAGTATTACAAGCCACTGAGTTTTTGACTGGTTTGTTAGAATAGTGTGTAAAATCTGACTAATACAGTTTTTACACATCTTCGCATAGAGATTGACAGGTTTTATTAAAACATGGCATAAAAATGAATACTTGGAAATCCATTCATAAGAAGATACAAAACAATGTTTTAAAAAATAAATATTTGAATTAAAAGTGTAAAATTTACCCCATTGTAGAAACACTTAACTAAGATTAATTAGCGTAGTAATGATAATAATTTTTATAGATAATTCAGACTTATTAAAAGTGATTAAATCTAAATTTCATAAATAAAATTGTATATGTGAATATGTGTCCATATGCATACATATGTATAATGTGTATAATATACATACATGTAGATATGTATTTTTGATGTGTTTATACAATTATCTTATGAATTAAATGGATTAATAGGACTCCAGTAACTCCCCATAAAAAATTGGTATCCAGGACCAGATATAGTACTAACCTGGCTTGAGGAATTTTCTTTATAATCTTTATTTCTAAATCATACACCAATTGGTATACTTATCTGAATATATGTTTTCTCACTCAGTGGATGCCCTAAGGGTATGAATGGAGGGGTTTTTTTGTTTGTTTTTCTTTTTTTTTATTCATGAGAGACAGAGCGAGAGAGAAAGGCAGAGGGAGAAGCAGGCTCCCAAGGAGCAGGGAGCCCGATGCAGGACTCGATCCCAGGACCCTGAGATCATGACCTAAGCCGAAGGCAGACGCTTAACCATCTGAGCCACCCAGGCGCCCTGGAGTTTTTTTTTTTCCTACAAACCACTATAGCCTATGAAAGTCCCATTATCTCTACGTCCAGGTAAGAGATATTATCCGATCTTTTTTTTTTTTCATTTTATGGTGAAATCTATTAATACCCTCATGACATAGGTCACAGCTCTTGTGATTTACAGAGAAAATAACAACTAAATGAAACTACCAATTAACAAGCAGAAAACAAACTGACTGAAAAATGAATTAACAGGTAATATCACTTGTCTTCAAGTGGGGCATAAGGGACAATGCTCAGCCTTCTGAGAGGAAGGATATCAGAATCTTGGGGAGGAGGAGTTTCAAGTTGGATCATTTAACAATATGTGCTAAAATCACAATTTCATCCTACAAATATTAACTAGCATTTGTTTTATCAACAGTTGGCATGTCTCTCAAATATTGGTTGAATGATTTCTCTGGCCTTTTTGGCGAGTTAGAGGATAAAATGACAATTTAGAGATGCATAGTCAATGCGTTAAATATTTTAGAATGTTCCTTAAGTAATCATTCCCCATATTTTATACATAATTGACACTGAAGAAACTTGGGTGAAATTGGAACAATTTAACAGGTTGTTCTGCAGACAAAAGAAACCAAAGGTGAAACAAGTCAACCTATGTCCTAAGGACTTTTAACAGAGAACCCCATTGCATGGACCATTGGGGTATATATTAACTACCTCATTTCCCGCTTTCCCAGGTAAAGAAAGAGACTTGGAGACTTAGAAAGAAACATTTATTACCAGGAGTGAAATATTGGTCAGGTACCTGGAGATGAAAAAAAACCAAGAGCTTTCAATTCCAGATAAACCCTGACATTTCCTTATTTTTATGAATTATTTCTGGAATTGGGGACAAATTTATGCCTGAGGTTTGTCAGAGAATTTTACTGGTCTCATGCCACTTTGCTACTATTCCCAAGGATGCTTTTGAAGAAAGGGAATCACAATAGTACATAAAATTCAAGGGTTACATCTGATGGTCACTTTGAAAGAAGAAATAGTCAATTCACTGGCATAGATTACTGGTTTTGACAAATTACAAGACCTGAGAAAAACAAAATCAAAAGACTGGAGTCAAAATCATTTCAGAAAGAGCTAAAAAATAGGCCAAGATTGAAAATAACCGAACAGAAGCCTGTCAATAATTACATGATCCTATACATCAATGTCAGTCACTGGTATGGTCTGATCATCTGTGTCCCCACAGATTCATATGTTGAAATCTTAAACCCCAAGGCGATCATATTATGAGGTTGGGTCTTTGGTAGGTGATTACGTCATGAGGATGAAGCACACATGAATGGGACTAGTGCTTTAAAAAGAAACCCCACAGAGCTCCCTGGCCCCTTCGACCATGTCCAGATACAGCAAGAAGGCATCATCTGTGAAACAGAATGTGAGTCCTTAGCAGATACTAAATTGGCCAGCAACTTGATCTTGGACTCCACAGCTTCCAGAACTGTGAGAAATATATTTCTGTTGTTTATAAGCTGCCCAGGCTAAGGTTATTTCTGGTATAACAACCCAAACAGACTAGGACAGTCACCTTTCCCAGGTTTCCCAGTGAGCCTAATAAACAAACATCATGACATCAGAGATGGAAGTCCATGTGTAGGCTCAAGGATAGGGATTCATCTAACTGAAGGTGGCAGGATTACCAGCACATGTTCTGTGATTGAGCCATTTGATAAAAGAAGACATTATGGCTAATTCAAGCAGAAAGGTATTTATTATCATGAATTAGGTAAATCAAAAATGTGTAGAAAGGCCCGATGAACAGGCTCAGGCAACTCCCTGTTTCAGTCCTTCAAATACCCTTGTATTTTCCCTGATCAGAAAAGCAATTGCTCTGGCAACAGCAATCTGGAAAATCAGAAAGCTATGTCCTTCAGACTGAGCTGCCTGGACCCCACTCCAGAGAAGTGAGCCCCTCTAGTCATATGTTTCTCCTCCTCTCTCTCTACGGCGAGAACCACTCTACAGGAATGCATCCGATAGAGTCTTGATGGCACCTGCAGCGAAGAGTGCCAAGGCCATGTGGTGTAGCCTTTCCAGAACCTTCCACACAGAAAGACCTGAGGGAACACTGAGGACAGAAATACTAAGGGAGCTCTTTCACAATAATTGCATAAGTCAGGCGTTCATTTATGTCTGTTAAATAATTTCCTTTTCTCTACTCTCTCTTTTAAATTTTTAAACAAAACAAAACAAAAACCCACAGGCCCCAAATGGTGTCACTTATGTTAAGGCTCTGTGTTAGCAAACCAAGACTTAACACCTAACCTAAATGCAATTTTGCCCCCAAGAATGTGACCTTTAACCAGCCAAACTGGAATTTCCTGGTCAGAACTAGGAGGCAATCCACTGATATAGACCCCTTCCATTCCTTTTGGGATGGCAACTTTCCCTAAAACAATGCATTCTTTGCTAATAATTTTCTTTTTTCTGCTTTCTCTCTCTCTGCCTTTCAGAACCTTTCCTTTTCTGCAGCTCAATGGAGCTCCCCTCTACTTGGCTGGAGGAGATGCTGCCAGATTCATGGATCGTTTAACAAAGCCTTTTAATCTTCAAATTTACTGGATTGAATTTCATTTCTTAACAAAATATGTAAAGAAACTACTGGGTTGTCATCTTTATAATTTAGACAATAGCTTGAATGATATCCAGATGGGTTTGTGACTCTTCCAGGAAGATCACGAACTCCCAGGAGGGGAGATAAACTGAAAGGATTTGGGCTCCCCTATCTTTTGGGTAGAGGTGAATATGCTGTTATTTATAAAGGAAACATTTGCCTTACATGAGATGGTAGCACATGGTCTTGATGTTTTCAGGAGCAGGAGTTCAAGTGTAGGGAGATGCACATTTATGATGGAAAGCCCCAGGGAGGCCTGGGCCAGAAATAGCCCAGCAACCATGGAGCTGGGTGAATCTGTTTGAGACTAACCAGGGGTCGTAAACGGCAGGGGAGGGTTGCAGGTCAAGAGGCCAGATCTCCCGTATCCTGGTGGCAGTACCCCAGTTCCTCTGGGGCCCATAGTGAGATGGGGCTCTGTACAGTTATGTCTGCAGTCTGATGCTTGCATTATTTCTAGAGACTTTGCTTGGAGCCATTTCCTTCCCAACAATTTGTGAGCAGTTCAATATTCCATAATGAATCCCTCTCTGCTCAGTGGCCTTGACACTTGCAACCAAGAACAATCACCAACCCCACTGAATGGGTGTCACAGCCTCCCTGTCCGTGTGGTCGGAAGTGCAAGAAAATAAGCCCAGGGGGGCTGTTGGCTTCTCATGGAGCTGCAGTGTCTCGTGTACAAAAGGGAGGAAGGCAACACTCATAGGTCCACCAGCAAAGATGGATAAGAGGCATCTCCCACAACAGCTTTTCACTGTGTGCCCTTCTAGAATCAAGCAAATGATGGCAAGGTGACAGCTCTGCGGAGCGGGCTGTGGTCCCTCCTGCGTTTACCAAGAGAAGTCCCACACAGAAGATCACTCGCTCTGTAGAATCATCTTCTATGCAGAAAACAGAAGGCATTTTTAAGTTGACAGCTTTTTGCTGTTTAAAAAAAGATTCAACTGAGTAAATTTGAAGACCTCACTGTATTAAAAAAAGAATATTTTCATTAAAATTTTTCTAATCAAGGGGCGCCTGGGTGGCTCAGTCATTAAGCGTCTGCCTTTAGCTCAGGTCATGATCCCAGTGTCCTGGGATAGAGTCCCGCATCGGGCTCCCTGCTCCGCGGGAAGCCTGCTTCTCCCTCTCCCACTCCCCCTGCTTGTGTTCCCTCTCTCACTGTGTCTCTCTCTGTCAAATAAATAAATAAAATCTTTTAAAAATTTTTCTAATCAATACAAAAAATACAAATAAAAATTTAAAAAAATAAAAAATTATCAAGTGTTTTAACAAAGAACTTTACTGGAAGTATCTATTCTCCTTCAAAACACACAATCTCCCTAGGCATAGTCCTGTGTCCAAAGGCACCGTTCCCTTCATGACGCGACATGCCCTCCAACATGAAGTCCCAGAAACATATAAGGACAATGAAGGCAAAGAGTCCAGCAAACTTCATATGTGATAACTATGGTGAACATCTGGCATTAATAATAGGGA